GCCTAAGGCACTTGACTGCTAACCAGAAGGCTGGCGGTTCAAACCCACCAGCCACTCCTCGGAAGGAAGGTTGGGCAATCCTACTTCCGTATTGATACTGCCTCGGAAACCCAAGGAGGGGTCACTATGAGTCGGGGCTGACTCGATGGCACATAACAACAACAACAACAACAATCAATTTCAAGTCACTGGAGCGTTCTCAGAAGACACTCTGTCCAGAGAAGGCCCCTTGCTGAAGCAAAAGGTGTATGATCATTGTGCAATGTTTGTACAACCCCTCGGGACACTTGTGGTGAGAAGCCGCAGAGCGGATGTGTCAATCTCAGGGCACTGCTCAGAGGCTCACGAACTGGGCTCCTACCAGCCGTGGGATCGTCCGAGCCCAGCAGCAGCGGTCCTGTCCTAATGGCACACTGCTTCCGTCAGATTACCGCCAAGAAGACAGTATGGCGCCGTTCCAATCTGTAACACGTGGGGTCACCATGAGTCGGACCTACTGCCCAGCATTGGGTTTGTTTTTTTTGGGGTGGGGTGGGTTGGGGTAGGCAGTAACCTCGTGGAAATCTCAAAAAGTGTTCTGGGCCGTGATAAAGAACACCTGCGTGGCTGTTGACACTGATTGTCGTTCTCCGGTTTATATTGGTTTCACATTGTTTCAGACAAACTCTATCTAGAACAGAAGAATTTCCATTGATCTGTGCACAAAACACTTCCGTTGTCATATTTATGGCTGACATCTTCATCCTAATTAGGTGTTTTTTTTTTCCTACACTACTGCCAAGAAATGGAAACGAGATAATGCTTGTCCGATAAGGACTGGGAACAGCAATTTCTCTGCTTTTGAAGGTTGTGAATTTTTTTGGAGTACAAAAATTTTATATTTTCATATAATCTGGTGGCATAGTGCCTAAGGCATTTGACTGCTAACCAGAAGGCTGGCGGTTCAAACCCACCAGCCACTTCTTGGAAGGAAGACTGGGCAATCTACTTCCGTAGTGATACTGCCTTGGAAACCCAAGGAGGGTGGCTGAGTTGGAAAAGACTCGAGGGCAGCAGGTTTGTTTTGGTTTTTTACAGTCAATCAGACAGCTGTGCTCCACTGTGCTTCCGCCCACTTCCCCGATGCTTAGGGAGTCTCCACGCTGCAGTCACTTGGTACCCAACTACTGTCCATGTTTTTACTGTTGGTTTTTTATACTGAATTCTTTAACACCAAATGGTATGAGGGGAAACTTTAGTTTTTCCAAATATTTAAAGAAATAGCCCAGGATGTTTTTTGAATGGTCACCTTTCCTCCCATTGATTGAGACACCATGTCCATCCCACACTAAATTCTTACCCAGTAACTACTCCTGGACTTTGTATTTGGTTCCATTCATACAGCTTCAGCATTTCACCAACATCACACTGTTTTAATTATCGTAGCTGGATTGATTATGAAAGCTGGGACAGCAAGTCTTTCCTTGTTACTCTTTAAAAAAAAGATTTTCTTCGTAAGTCTCACCTTGATATACTTTGTAAAAGTCCAAATGAAAATCTCAGAGATCTTGTTTGAAGTTTAATTCAGCCTACAAACTAACCTGAGAGTCGTGTTAATAACCCTCAGTCTGCCCATCGGAGCACAGTACATATCTCTTTTTGTTCCTCCTTTTATATCCTTTTTTTTTTTTTCTTTACATCCTTCATTTCAGTCTCTTTCAAATGCTGTTGTTATGTTGTTGTTAGGTGCCATCGAATCGGCTCTGACTCCTGGTGACCCTGTGGACATCAGAACGAAACGCTGCC